TCCAGTTTGTAGACCACGCAATTCTATTTTAGACACATATAACATTTTGATCTAAATGGAAAAAGGATCCTCCAAAAAGCTTTTCCGAAAAAGATATCGATCTTGACTCTGCGGAAGAAAAAGCATCTTCTCGCGTTTACTTATGCATTACTGTCTCTAAAGCCGCAAGCGCAACATTGTTACATCCGTACGGCATTCGTTCCTCAAGCGATGTCCCGACGCGGATTTATACACGGCCGGTGAATCGCATTATTTTTGCGAGCACGAAACGCCCCGAACGGAATGCACTTTCTGGTTCATATTTATAATTATCACGGCGGCGGTTTCCGCGCGCGCGCGCGCGCGCGCGCTTTATACTTTCATCTGTGTGCATTCGCGGCGTCTGCCGCGACATCCTGTTTCTTGTCTCTTCTGCCTTCGTTTTTCTCGTGTGTCCCCCCGCGCACGAGGAACCCCGAGATTCAACACGTGACTGGCAAACGCTCCGCAACTTCACGGATGCACCCCACCGCGACATGTCGTGACCGAAAATTTCGGGGCGTTGCGCGGTAACGGCTTTCTGGAAAAAGCTTCTTGGAATGATAAGTGCGCGTCTATGGTTTTCCGGTAAATCCTTAAAATATTTAAGGATTTATCCGACGTTCCATGAATATCCGAAAGAACCGAGAGCAATGGCCCTCTGTGCGTCGAACTTCCTATTCACTGCGGATCACTACAGATGGTTCTCTCGTGACCCGAATTTTCCAAAAAAAGAAATAGCATTACCTCAGACGGAGATCATTATTCTCCTTCGCATTTTATTTTTCGGGCTTAGAGCGCAAAGATGCGCAATACCGAGAGACGATCGTAAAGAGAAAACTTTTTCTCTTGCCTTTCAGATTTACTATTAATTTTCGCAAACATGCGACAGCCCAGCACTTCGAGGCTTTCCAATTCTCTTTTTCTCGCGGAGGAAGTATCTCGTTTTCTGCGAGTAACTTGTTCGTGGAATATCTCGTTCTCGAAGAGAGGTCGATGACACGCGTTAGCTTATATAGAGAGAGACGTTCGGTTTAAAGGTCCATTAGATCTCCGGATGCAATATCGTTGCGACAGGTGACACACCGGATCGTAAGACGCAGATGGCGTATATTAAGGACACGCCACCCGATATATCGCCATAGTAAAATAGAAACATGGATGAAACACGCTTCGTTTCGATCGATCAAAAAAAAAGAAGAGGAGTAATACTATTTCACCTGAGCAAATATATGTTGCAAGCGCGTCGGGGAACTGCTACTGTATGCAAATAAACAAATTGCGTGTTCCGCATTCAAACGACGCGTTTAAACTACCGGTTAATGCACATATTCATTATTTGACTCGTATTTTTTTCATTTTAATCGCGATGGACAACTTTTTCTCTCTATACAAGCGTGTTCGAATTAATCGCAGTCACATCGCAGTGATATCTCTATTAATTACCGCCGGCGAATTTTATGCTGTGTACGGAAATTTAATGTCACTTAGAGATTTGACGCGGACAGGAGTAACAAATATGAGTTCGGATTGCTTTTCCTGTCGCACGTGCTGGGGTCGGTATCATTCCTTCTAATGTGTGTTACGGAAAGTTTCACGATAATTACAATAGTTTGACACGTTATGCCGTAAGTATAAGCTATTTTCTCCGACCGCGGGCGAAGAAGGGGAGGAGGGAGAAGGGGGAATCGCGCGAGATGGAAAATCCATTTACGATCTAAGCTCCGGCTTAGGGTAAGCCTCAGATCGGCCCATGATTTCGGTACTTCGATAACCCGTCGTGCCAGCCGCCGGCGAGATGTTCGTCGGCGATCCTCGATCGATTTTCTCGGTATCTCCCGACACAAGGGATTAGGTCAGGGACCAGAGAAACGGGTTAGAGCACGGCGAATCGGATGCTAGCACGGCCATCCGAGTGATGAGATGATTGGCCCGCTGATGAAACCTGATAGAGCTGGCCTGTTGCTTGGCCGGTCTGGCTTGGCGGATTATGTTCTCTCGTGCGAGAGAGCACGCTGGATCACAGCCGCCCTGATCTCATCCACTTCCGCCTCGGACACCTATTCTGCTCCGCGGTCTTTCGATATTTCGGAACGATCTAGCCCGAGGATTCGATTCCGCGAGACTCGGGAATTGGAAACGCTATAATTTCGATAGAGGCAACCAAATTTCAGTCGCTTGCACGAAGGAGTAAACTTTAGATAGATTTAGAAGACTTTAATCTTGTTGTTGTGCAAACACATTTTACAATAATATATCCCTCGAGTGTTTGTCTAACTTGCCTGTTGATTCTGATCACTGGAAAAAAACTTTTGCTTTGTTTAAATTTTTATTAAAGAAGACTGATTATAAAAGTTTTGGTAACTTTCAAAAATGTATTTTATAATATTACGTGTTCGCTCGACAAAATTTCGATGCGTATTTATATTGACACGTTTGTGCATTTTTTTCTGAATGGATACGACTATCTATAGACATGTATATCGGTTATAAATTAAATAATATATAAGTATCCATAAATTCGAGTCGAGGCATTGTCTGCTGGAAGCGGATATCGAAGAAGGAAGAGAAAGCAACAAATTGCATCTAGTTGAAAACTCGTTCGGCCATCTCTCTTGACTTTCTACGATGAGCAGCCGGTCTCGAGAAAAATGACACTCTTATCTGAAAAATGGCCGACCATAAACAATCCCGCGAATCGGTGTACGATAGCAGGAGGGCTGCTGCTTTCGTATAGCACACGTCTTAGTATCGCTCTTTAACCTGTCGACAAAGTACCGCGAGATAAAATGCGGGAAATATCGTGATTTTGGTAGAAAAATTACATGAACATAAAAAGTTTTGCTTTGTCCTCGCTCCTAGATAAAATAATATTCAATTGTTAATGAATATTCGAATATTATTAGTTTATATCGCAATAAATATTATATCAATAATATTTTATCAATAAATATTATTTCCTTTGTTTTATTATTATTCTTATTTGTTCGTAAACTTTTTTATTGTTTCTTTTATTTTTAATTCTATG